TAATAAACTTGGATGTATATTTGCCAGCCATTCTGACTCTTCGTCGTCGGAAATATGATTCAAATTGTCCGCCATTTTTTTTTCGTAACTACAATTCAATTATTCGCTTGCGCGATGCGAGAAAACCTGTTTAACCGGTACTCTACAGTACAAATACCGCGTGATATTTGTACTCGTCTATGGCGTTATTTGTACTATACGAAGCGTAGTTGGATAATAATAATAAATATACAAAATCATTGGAGAGAACTAAGATAATTCGTTAGAGTAGGTTTAAAATCATCCAAAGATAGCTGGTCTAATAAAAAAGAAGGTAATGTGTTCCATTCTTCTGGTAAAGAAGTTATACTTATAGGTATTGCTGTTACTGCCAATGTTAATGAATTTACTGCTATGATAGGAGCGCGTAACACGTGTGGGGCAACACTTTTGCAACACTTTCATACAGGATAGTCCTTCACTGTCACCCTCGTTCCTGTTGAACAGGGCTTCCTAGAACCTAAGTCGATATTCTTGACAGTGATTTAGATTGTTTCCTTTTACATAACAAAACTTGCTCTTTACAGCGGGTATTCAAGGTTTTCTTCTTGCTTCCCGCCTATGGCAGGCCAAGGAAGAAACTTTGAGTAATTAAACTACAAGGATATGGCTTGAGGATGATGTTAATTTGATTTGTAAATATATATACCACACTTACTTATAGGCCGTTAAATAGGTCAAAACTTTTCAAAGTTTATTTGCTGAACAAATAAATGACTTTCATGCAGGATGGGCCAGGGTTGTTGTTGCTTTCATATTTGTCGTTCAGATCCTGCAAATACCAAACTCGATATTCTTGACCAGCGGTCACCATCAATGGAGTAGTGAAAGTAAACACCAGTTCATTAGAGTTCTTTGTAAATCCAGAAAGCTTGTATTTACGGGCGATGCGATCTTCCGGGAAAACAGTGTTGTCGTCCTTGTCTGTGAGAATGGTATGAAGATGGGACTTGCATCCCCATAGACTTTCATCTTTATTTGTGCAGCCCACAATACCAGAAATATGCACCAACTTGATGAAGTAGATTTTACCAGCTATTGGTGTAAAGAACTTTCCTGGCCTATTGCCTTTTCCATACATGCACACATCTGTGGGTACTTCAACTAGCCATTTTTCTTAAGGAGAGAAAAATATTGATAATAATACCTGCAGATCTCTAAAAGCGGCTCGTGATTGTATGAATGTTTCGGTGGAACATGTTGCTGTGAGTACCATTCATACGGAAATACCTTCCGGCCGCAATGAGAAGCGACTAATTGTAACGTAAATTAACTTATGTCTCACTATTATGAGAGGAAACTAGTTATGGGGATACAAAACAACGTTTTGAATACAACGCTTTAAAATGCTATAACTCATAGTCATCCTTAAATTCCTGCCGGCGTGAAAATGCTAACAACCTAAAGTTTTAACATTGTAACTTATACTAACTTAGATCTCAGTTAAACCTACCACAATAATTTCCGTGATTATTCGGAAGAAACCCGCTCCAGAAATCTTTCACTTGATACAATGCTCGACAGCTTCTGTAAAACTGACAGGGGTTTGACAAACATAGAGTCTGTGAAGGGACAGTTATAACTATGTTAATTATACCTTGATATCTAGAGGAAACATTTTATAGCTTTTGGTAAGTAAGATTATTTGGGTTCGTTATTTGGCTTTCTGTACGTAGCTACCTCTTGTCGATTTGAAATCAAGCCAAAGTTACTCCACCATGTACATAAACAAACAAAATCCACAGTGGGACTGTTTCATTAATAATCAATGTCTTTAATTTTCAGTCTTAAGCTAGTTTGGTGAAAGCACATAAATAATTTTGTATATACGCTAACTCAATTTTAAATCGATTGTAGATAAAAACATCGTCGCTCATCGATCTTACGCGCAATTATTGTCAACAAACTAAGTGACTGTGTTAAAATTTAGATTTTGTAAAATTCAAAACGATGAAAAATAATATTCAAGGCAAACAAAGTATTCCTGTGAGAGTTTCCCTCACTGACAGGCAAAGTAATAACTAGTCATAGCGAGTAACTCATATTTGCAACCTAAATGTTAGTTCCTCACATTCTTTAATTCTGGTGGAAAAAAGATAAAGAAATAACTTTACCATTTTCAATTTGAAGCCAGTCTTAACCGTAGACTTTAGTCAATGACTCAGTTTGTCGTTTAAATCTTCATCTAATGTTAACAACAATGACGGCAAGCTATCAAAGGGAAAGATTTCGTCAATGATTAAGAGGAGAAACCTATGTGGTGTGCCTCACTTTCGTTTAATTGCCCACCTAAGCTATTGCTGAAAGAATGAATCATCATATCATAGTTATTCAGTCGGCGAAGCTGTCACCCAGCTGTTGAAGGTAGCATACCTTGACACTGTAATGATGAGAGTGTGGACTTCGTCTAAAGCTGTCAGAAGCGTTATACCTGTCTGTGGGAAGCAACTCACAAACATAGTCACCGTTTACTTCAGGTTTAGCCGCAAGGTTTGTTGAGAAACATCGCGGATCTCTCAAACATTTATGCGCACAAGTTAACTGACTCCTTACAAGGATGAATTCTAGTTTTGCAACATCAAGAACGTGAAATTGATGATCCCTAAAATAGGCGGAACGAAAATCAGAATCCCGTTGAAAAACTGTGAATGATGCTGTTAGTTTAGAAGGAAATACGATATATCTGAATGAAATATACAGTAAAGTTGACTGCAGATAAAACATTTTTAAACTTAAATGTTCGAATTCGAGGTGGGACCGTAACACCGTTATTATTAATTCATAACTACTTGATATTTATTGAGGCACTGTCTCGATTATTTTTTTTTGTGACAAAATTGTTTTGAAAAATTCTAAGGGTTCTTTTGTTATTGGTTGAATGATTCGTTCTCCGCTTGAGGATTCGAACCGCCCAGAAAGATTACGGCTCGATGGTTTGCCGATTTAAATCGAAACATTGTGAAGTTTATAGACGTTTAAGTAAGTTGTTGATAAGACAGACCGATGCAAGATCAGTCATGAAACTAAATGGCTTCAAAATGTTCTTTAAATTTAAAATTTTAAAATTTTTAAATTTTAAATTTAAATCGAAACATTGTTAAGTTTATACGCGTTTAAGTAAGTTGTTGATAAGAGAGACTGATGCAATATCAGTCATGAAACTAAATGGCTTCAAAATGTTCTTTCCAGAGATTCAAGCTTTGTCAAGAATTCACTTTATGTATAAGCAAAATTAAGGTGAATTTATCCTTGGTCAGCGTTTGTAATTGCCTTCAAAACGCGGTAATTTTAATTGGTAGTAGTTTGTTCTTGCTATTTTTCGTACTGAACTGTGTTTCTTGCGTGTTACGAAGTAAATATATGTTCGTTCGAACTGAATCTGGGGAAGGATGAAGCTGTTTCTTTCGCCAATAAACGAAACCACTTTCTTATCGCACAAGTAAAGCCCTTCATGCACGGAATCTGATGGACACATGCTTGTTGTTGGACAATATTGCTTCCAACGTAATTAGAATCTTCAGTGCAAATTGAAATTGTTGGCTTTTCCAAGCGGAGTTTTACATTTTGATGACAATCAAGCTGATTGCTACTAGTTTAGCATTATAAAAATATATATTTTAGATATTCATTGTCCCATTCATTGTGGTAGACCCTCTATATGTCATTGCAGTTTATTTAAACTTTGTCATATTTTATGTCTGTATTATTTCTACGAAAATCTTGACGGTATTTACATTAGCCAGCTGTGTAAATGATGCACAAAGTAAGGTGTTTTCAATTTTAGCAAAACCAATAATCATGCCTCAATGCTCAAAAGCTACTGGGATACAAATAGAGTACTTTTCGTTATTATTGTTTAATTAGCTTGCACAGTAAACATTGAAACTCAGCTGTGATGCTGCTTAATATTTAATGTACTTAAGTCAACTTTCAATAGCTAGTTTGGTTAAACACTATAAATAATTTACAAGTTGATTCAATCTTACAGCGCTTGTGAAAAACCAAAATTGTTTCCCGCACGCGTATCATTTGTTTTCAACTAAGAGAAATGAAATTCGTTCTTTGTGAAACTCGAAGCAGCGGAAAATAATATTACAAACAAACAGGATGTTCCTGTAAAAGTTCTCCTGACAGGAAAAAATTTTGAACCATAGTAGGAGACGGTTTCCCAGTTTTGTAACCAAACACTCAGTCATCGTACTTTTGGCTACAAAATGACGACACATTACGTTTCATTTAAGTGAGGCATGAACTTAAGACATTCAAAGAAGCGTTTATCCACTGATTAAAAGTGACACCCTTATGGCAAAAAATTCAACTCAATGGAAACTGTGAATTTTAATTTTGATGCCCAAGATACTCCACATAAAGGTAAAGTATTATGCTTAGCTTTTGGCTTGAATTAAAAGCTATAAACCATGATAAACTTAAGACGACTAATCGTACAGACCTCTAACGTCATTACAGGAAAATTTCTTCATTGACTATGTTGCATTGATCAACCCTAACGGCGTGTCTTCTTTGATAGAATGGTCAAAATAACATGGTTAGGAACGTATCTTTGCCTGGCTGATGATTTTACCCTAGCTATTGGCCAATAATAATAATGATAAAAAGTGAAGTAAAGGGAATCTACCATATTGTATCAGTTAAAACTCGTTACCCAGCTGAAGTCGGGGTACCATACCTTAACACTGAAATGATGGAAACGTTGACTTGGTCTAAAGCTGTCAAAAGCTTCATGTTTCCATCGATATCAGGTTCAGCGGCAAGGTTTGTTGAGAAACATCGCTGATCTTCTAGACATTGAAACAGACAATCTATTTGATCCCTGACGAGGCTGGTTTCGAATTTGGAAACATCAAGAACGTGAAAATGATGATCGATAAAACTAGCGATACGAAAACGAGAATTACCCTGAATACTTCGAAATGATGATGTCACTTTAGGCGGAAATACTATATTTTGAATTTTTGAATGTGAGTTGGGACTATAACACCGTTATTATTAATTCATGACCGCCTAACTATTTCTCACTTACAATGGATGATTTCCAGAGCTTCTTGTTTTTATTAATTCACAAAGAACCGATAATGTCGATGGCGGGAGGATGACAGATGAAATAGATAGATAGATATCGAAAAGCTCGAGAAGTAAACGTAGACGAGGTGTGCTTTTCTTAGCTTCTGATGGACATTTTAATGTGTTTTTCGATTTTTAGAGTTTTATCAAACTTTTGTAAAATTTTTGGTGATTTTAAATAAAGTTATTATAGTTCCCATTTTTCAAAAACGTAGGCATGCTAGCATGCAAGAGTTATTCTTACGAATGGGTGGGTTAGGATGTCCGTAATTGACAACATAAAGAAAATAGGCAGTCTGTGACTGTATTTCTCTACCGATAGCGTACAGTCTTCATGGCCTTTAAGAAAAAAGAAGTTATATAATTACGCCAGACTA